ACTCGATTTTATTCCTCGCACGGAGACACGCTCCGCGTATATTGCTCACTTCGCTAGACGCGCGGGGCTAAATGCAAATGGCGGTTAAATAAACTCGACTAATGTTCGAATCTAATATTAACCTCAGGCGTGCTCCCAGCCACGCACTACTAATGTACTCGCAATCTTTGCAAACTTCTAACAAGTTGAAACAAAAGTAAATTTCTGTAAATTTAAGGTAAAATGTCACAAGGTTGAAAATTGAGCAGTTTGTTTCGAACATGAGCTAATGTTATGGCCTCGCCATCGAAATTGTCGCCTCGTGCGGCCGGTTTTCACACGCCCGTCCCGTTGAACCCGCTTATCCGAGCGATCACACTTAGCACACACTTTTATTTTTATCGCGCAATAAAACTTTGGCCTATTTTCTTCTTACCGCCCGAGAAATACTAACCTGTGCGCACAGGTCATGATGGAGTATAATTCGGTGCATTTTCAGGCCAATCCAGGGACGTCTTTAGATTTAATTTTTATTTTTTTGTTCTTTAAAAGACTATTTATACATTTGTTGTTTTAATTCATAGTTCTCTGATGTAATAAATTATCGATTATCAATTTAGGTATTATTTGGTGTTAAATTTGCCCGGGGGCGGCAAACAGTGTTTGCCTTCACGCGCGAGTTGTTTCTTCGGCTTACGAGCTGTGCACATAGCTTCCGGGCCATGCACGTTGTTCGATAACCCGCTGGAAAGCTCGCTTTCCAGCTTTCAGATTGCCGTTTAAGGCCTCTCACTCCCATCGCACCGCCACCGCCGCCTCGCGCTGATTATCGTGTGTAAACAGGTGTCTCCGCCGTCTTAAGCCTGCAAGCAATCATAACTTTGTGTATAAGTGCCGTACAATCGCACCGTACTACCATTCCAAGATCCTGAATTACAGAAATTCAAAATGGCGATATACATCTTTCCACATGCGACATGTGTAATGTAGATGTTGGAAAACTTTTGAAAGAAAAATTAGATAAGTACGCGGATATTAGATATTGAATTGTTTTTTGGTGTGGAAAGTTGTCGGGTCGTGGTCTAAGTCTAAAGAAAAGCAATAACCGCCAGACTTATCGCCAGCTGCATCGGTCGTTATAACCATTTATGATTACGTCGGCGGTGTGGCAAAAACCACACCAAAGTTGTTCCGGGCAACACCGGGTCAAAACTCTCCCGCGCAGCGACACAAAAAACTTTTGACACCACGCCATTCGATTTCTTCAGTGTCATCATGCGGCGTGCGAAAACTAGCAATAAGAAGTCGCGGAGTCAACGACTTCTTTGTTTGTCCGTTGTTGGGCGGCTTGATGGCGGCTGTTATTTTAATATCCTGCGCGTTCGCGAGCGTGGAAAATACATTAAGACTTGGCAGAATAAACAAAGTGCCATTAGTCAGAAGTCACACTACTCAGGGACCCCGGGAGTCTGGATCTGCTTGGAGGTCGTGGCAAGAAGTTGACGGGGCTATAATGGTCGGATTATTCCGACAAAAACAATCATGCGAACTGCATACCAGGCGCGCGCTCTCTCGGCGTTTATGCTAATTTCAATTTGCATATATTTTCGGAACAATTTTAAGGAGTTCTCGCCTCCGACGCCAACTCTCGACACTCGGCACATCGTCATGGCAATCCTTGGCACTTTGCATTTGATGATGATAGCAATGTCCCCGACCGGCAGAGCATATATAGACACACCATGCTTCTCGGCGAAGATGGAGTGGACCACTGCGGCTGACATGACGAATGTTATGACGAGATGTCCTTCGAGGTCTTTCCTTTGCGAGCGAGCGCTATATCCATATCCAGATCTAATAAACACGATGAAGTGTACGCCCGTGTGTGAATAAACCCTTAAAGAGTCTGCTTGCATCAGCAGATTGGCGCGGATTTCATTCGGAATCAAGCACGAGACATCAGCTGCCAGACATCAGTCGTTGATGCGAAGTTGAAAGCTACTGTGGGGAGAATCAGTGTGTGGGAATGCGAAAATAGATGGCGTAACCTTCGCAGACGAACGCGAGCGGATTTCTTTGCATTTGATTGACGTCAGTCAAGCAGCATAAACATATGTATTATACAGAAAATCTCGAGAATCATGAGAGTGAATATTCTATTCAGTCGGGTAGAAAAATTGAATTTGTATTCGGATGACATTTTCAGAGTAAGCAGTAATCTACTTATTTAACATATGCAACTCAAAATACAGACTATAAAAAGTCATAGGGATTATATTTTTGGATATAATGAGAAATGATTTTTACACATTAGAATTTAATGATATTGTTAAACTTTTCGAAGACCACCTGGTCCACCCTTCGACGATTAAAACGCACGGAGAACTTAAATCTTTTACTGCGTGTTTTGTACGTTTTTCGTCGAAGAAAAACAGAACTAAAACGTTTCCCTCAACGAGCCAGATAGTGAACTTTCGCACGTGTGCACCCGCCCGACCGACCGCCACTCGGCACCCAACTTCTTCACTCCGGCGCTCGGGCGGCTAAATTATCTCCCGACCTGCTCCCGACTCCACTCTTAAGATAGTGTTTAGTAGTTCGGAAAAGGCAGGAAGTCGAAATGTAGTCGCGCTCTATATATCCACCACCACCGCCTGCGACTTTAAGAGTTTCCCGAGAGCGCTGGTTAAATGTGTGCCGACCGGAAATAGCCGAAAGTGTTTGCTTACAGGATGCCTCCGAGAAGGTCCTACAAGGACACTCCGACGGCGCCGGATGCACGAATTCCCGAAATCCATGCGCCACGCGCGGTAGAACACCAAGTCGAAGCTGAACATTCATTTTTTTGCTCTGCGCGCGCGCGCGCGTTTGTCGGTGAATGAAAATGGGCATTAGCTGTGTGAGTGCGGGAAGAATGAAATGAAAGGCTTCGTTGAAGAAAGGATAAACGTAAGGCACGTTAGGCAGACGGGCGGAAAATGCAGGAAAGGCTTAAATGTTTAAGAGAGCGTGCAAATTTCTCAACGTTTTCCATCATCTGCGTTTTCTTTTCGAGGAAATTCAGGAAAATTGATGTCAGGATGTCACATTTAAATTATTATTATGCTAATTTTGGCTAAACTACGAATATTATAACCTAAAATATGTTTTTCTACTTTTACCATTAAAATAAAACTTTAGTCACGGTTTTAAGACACGAAAAGTGACATTTTAGTCACAGGTCAAGACTAAAGTACTTTAATCACGGGTTTTAGTCACGGGGTGGAGCTTGCGCCTGTGCATTTGCTTACAGTACGTTCGCTATGCTTGCTATTAATCAAACTTGTGGATAAAGTGCCACTTAGCGCACTAGACACTTATTATACTATAGCTTTGTAACAATTTTTTTTAATTAACTAAAAATATTGACTTTATTAAAAGTTTAAATTAATCAAAGGTTTTAATACGTTTTTGGTCGTTTTTTAATGAACGATTGATTTGTTTGCGTTATCAAGCTTCAAAGCTTCAAATATATTGACATTTTTTTGATACGGCTTTAATTATTTCCCCGTCGCGTTTACGTACTTTGTGGTGCACACCGAAAATAATGACGCCAAATGTTTGCGAATCATGCAATCCAAACAGCGGCAATCGATGAGCGTTTAATTAAAATTTAAATTTGGACAATTCACTGATTACGTCCGAACTGTTGACGAAGTAAATAATTTAATTTTGTTTTTATTTCGCTCACGTGTCCGCAGCGGAAGTGGAGAGCGAAGTGCGCACGCAATGTGTAGCATTAATTCGTGGGAGCAACTTTTCACCAACGACAACGACTTGGTTGGTTGGTCCATGGCGAATATGGCCATCACGCACGACGCATTAATTTCAACTTTTCGAGGCGAACGACGTCCGGAATGAAAATAAATGTAGCTGACCATGAAAGTCATACGTGCGTGCGTAAATTTCACTGAAACTTTTTTCAGGAAATTTCACTGCATTGGTCATTTTTTTATTTATATTATTTAATCTTGTTTGTAAAATGTTAAAAATTTGTTTCTATGCGTTGGGAGGCTGATGAAATGTGGATTTTTCAAGTTGATTTTTCGTTTTGCGTTCTATTTTCTTTATTGGCTCGCATAAACGTTTTACTGCACGAAATTAAGATTATTTATTTTAGATTCGCTTATCGCGTATGAAACATTCGACTTTATGGGGCTGTAAAACGAAAAGGAGGGAAAAACGTCCAGCGCTGGTCCCCAAAAAATCACTTCACACACTGAATGTTTAAGAAACAAACCAAAAAAATATTTAAATAAGTTTTTCCTGACTTAAAACGACAAAAAATAAAATTAAAAAATTTTAGAAATTTTTTTTGCTGAAAATTAATATTAAGCAATCCGGGTTTGATTTATTTTGATAGCATGTAGATCTGTTATAAAAACGTAGCTTGTCGATGGTGACCAAGCGTAGCAAATGTGGGCGAGCGTGAAGGGTGCAGTGGTGCGCGGCTATCGGACGCGGACGTTAAGGAAATGGAACGATTTCGGAAACCGAAGCGCCCACCCGCTGGGCAGCGATGTGAGCATGCATTTCGCGTTTTCCAATATTGACGATTGTGCGGTCATATCGCTGCGAGCCTCGGCCGCCGACGGACGGGCTCGAGACCTGCCTGCTGGCGCCTTGGGCTTCCACCCCCGGGGCGCCGGTCCAATATGTAAATTGTGGTGCGTTGAACCGCCTAACCACGTTCCGCACATAAAACTACCCTTTGCCATCGACATCGTCTTTGCCGGGCGCAAAACCAAACTTCTCCTCCTTTTAAGTCCCTAGCATGAGGTGGAGATGTGGAGATTTTGAATCGGGGTGTGTATCGTGCAAAATCTCAAAGTTAAATGCAAAAGAAAAAACCAAATAACGAGTTTAGACGCACAAAAGCAAAAAATAAAAAAAGTTAATTGGTACCAAATCAATACCGAAACAATATTTGCCCTTAAAATAACCATAAAATTTCATTACATGTACTCAAATTTTATTTCCAGTTATGATACGAGAACGTCAAGTAATCAGGCGCACAGATGGCAGGACAGTTCCCTGGACAGCCGGGCTTTCTTCCGCACACTGACAGAACCCAGCACGTTGAGCATCGACAACATTGGCGAGAAAGAAGAAGGCGAATACCGCTGCCGAATTGACTATCTCCGCTCACCCACGAAGAACCTGCGGGTCAAGCTGACTGTCATAGGTGAGTCCGAATTATCCGACATTAAAATATTTATTATATACATGAAGCGCACTGTTTAGGGTTGACCAGTGACCCCGCTTTGCTCTCGGCGGTCGTGTGTTTCGATTAATTTTAGGTAAATCTTATCTTTATTAACAGCCTCCGCAGTCCCCGACGCAATAATAAAATTAATTCCGGACCGCGATAATGTCAGTTATGTGTATGCTGCGGTGTAGACCACGCATGGCGTCCTCCTGAAAGGGTATTGTTTAATTGCTGCCGGGATCCCAGGAATTAAACACCGAGTACCTCATAACGCGAAGCGCTGTGAATTGTTTTGAGGAATTTTGTGATCCACTCGGTTGGGAATGTTTGGCGGAAAACCTCTTCGAAAACTTTACGATTTTCGACGGGCGCATGACTCGTTAACAAGTTGTTTGGTGCGTCCGGATTAATGTCATTACATACCGCTTGTTTGGCCGTTAGACGCCTTGTTATGTCTTCATCAAACGTGCCGGTCATAATTCTATTCAATCTTCGACCAGTACTCACACATGGTTATTATGTGTAATTTGATTTTTGCTCTCGTTGAATAAATTGCCACTCGTCGATTTCGATTCGCTTCGATGAGTGGATCTACGCTCTTTGAATACGCCGAGATTTTCACGCTTTCCCGAACTCTAAGAATGGATCTGGTCACGAGTATGTGTGACTTCCGGCGTGTAAGCTCTCCCACTTCCTGCTATACTTAACCTATAAAAGATGTTTGTTATTTGAATACGAAAATAGGCTAGTTGGAGTTTTTCCATTGTAAACCGAAGAGATTTTCACATTTCCGTCTATCGATTATTTCTTCAGGAGGAAAAGAAAACAACGTCGAGATGAAGTAAAAATCTTCTAAATTATTCATATAATAAGCACGTAAAATCCCATTTTCTGTGTGGGTTGTTGTAAGTGCCTGCACAGTGAGTGTATAACAACATCCACGCAGTCATTAAATACCTAAATGGTTTTTTATTCGCCCCCTCGTTTGTTGGGCCATTCTCGCCGCCTCCTCTGAGATTTTTTTCTTGCGAAGGTATTTCCGCCAAAAGGGGAACCATTCCCGGCAATTCTTCTCGTCGTTCCGAGTCATTCCATTACCATAAAGCTTACAATGCATAAATTAGCTGCCGTTCGCTGCGGACTGCCGTGGAACCATCAACCTCACTTTTTAGCTTACAATAATCCGAGGAACATTGGTTTTTAAAAAAATCGCGCTTTGCTTCGCAGTTATCTTCTCTGGGGTTTATCATTTTTCAAGCGGGTGAAAAGTTGATGTTGGTAGCATTAACGAAATAAAATCATCATTTTAATGCTACCCACTACCACCACCTTGGCGGTTTCCTACGTTGCAACATTCCATCGTTATTTGGGAAGCGGTAAAATGGAGAAATGGCAGAGGGAACTCACTGCTAACCGTTTCGGCGCCTTTTCACAATATAATTTAAATCATTTACCTTTTTTCTTGCTCCCTGCGGCGGAAAAAAACTGAACTCGCCTGCAAAAGCACAATAAAGCTATATTAAGGGTATAAAAATTGAATGCTATATACAGTGTGTACAGGAAATCAATTTTGAACTAATATTTGCTAAATTTTTGCCAAACATCCACTGAAATTTGCTTATAATTCAAAACGAGATTATACTTTTCCTTCAACTGGGAACTGTTTGAAGCAGCGGATGCCAGGCAATAAAAGTATGTTAATATAAATGAGAAGATGTGCTGCGCACCCACAGGAAGCGCCCCGGCATTATTTGATATGTTGGCAGCGATCAAATGTAACGACTGCGAACACATCACTGTCTACCTTTTTGCGTTTACATAACATGCACGCATATTTTTTCCTCACGTTTCTTCAAATTTTAATATTCCGAAGAGCTGAACTTTTAATAAGTTTTTTTTATACAGTGCATTCGATCACAATTAAAATTACAATCTTAATTAAATTTATTTCTGGTGCTTGAGGCAAGGAGAGAAGAATTAATGAGAATCCTTTTTACGGAATGCAAGTTTTTATTGATCTGTTCAAAAATAATAAGAAAACATTGAAGATTGGTTTAGTAGTCAGCCTTGATCATATCAGCAGCTTTCTCAGCAATGGTAATCGTTGGGATGTTGGTGTTACCAGAAACAATTGTAGGCATAATACTAGCATCAACAACACGTAGTTTCCTGACACCATGGACCTTCAACTTGTAGTTGACGACTGACCATAAGTCATTACCCATCTTATTGGTACCGGATGGATGGTACAAGGTGGTTGCAAAGTTATGCAAACTGCAACGCCAGTAATCATCGGTGTTGAACGTCAGGGAAGAACAATTTGGAATGTCGAAGTCAATAATCTCGACTGGGAATGTTGTTGAATAGGTGATGAATGTTTTAAGGAAGTTAATGGCTGCCAACATGACCTCCTCATCATCCGGGTGTGTCAGATATCCAGGGTAGATAAGTGGTTTGTCAGCTGGGTTGCTGCTGGCCAAACGAATGGATCCACGTGATTTGGGATTCAAGAGAATTGGCAGGAAGGTCATCATTGTGTACAATTCATTGATGGCGGTAAGACTAGCACCTGACACATCATTGAATCCAATCTTTTCGATATAAGATGGAAGGAGTAAGACATCCTCGGTTAGCATACTCATATGCATGAATTGAATATTCGGGTAGATGGAGTTGTTCTTGGTGTTGATCCATCCAACGAGGTTACCAATATCTATCTGACCAACTGGGGCTTGAGGTTCATCACAGTAAGCATATACGAAGTCGGTGAAATTGACCAGGATTGGGAACTGGAAGTTTACTAAGAAAGCGGGGAACATCATGTGATCCTGAAGGTTCTGACCAACACCTGGGAGGTTCCTGACTACCTTGATGCCTTTACCCATGAGGTGAGCACGTGGGCCAATACCGGAAAGCATGAGGAGTTTTGGAGAGTTGATGGCACCAGCGGAAACAATGACTTCTTTGGTTGCTTTGATTTCAACTCCGTTGGAAAGACGGACACCTGTAGCCTTGGGTAATAAAATATTGTTGTCGAAGAGGATTTTGGTGACAGTTGTGCTGGTCATCACACATAGGTTACTACGTTGGTTATTTGGAACCAAGTATCCCTTGGCGACGTTGAAGCGTCTGTTTTCATAGATGGTGGTATTGACATAGCCATAACCAATCTTCATGTCAGGGGTATTGTAAGGGAAGCCCATGGACATTGCACCTTCTGCAACCACCTGTGCACCTGGCATCTCAGCGGCGTACATGGTGGTCTTCATATTGGCTTCGGTCTTTGCAAAGTATTGTTGCATGGAGTTCCAGTCCCATCCTGGGTTACCTTGACTAGCCCAGTTGTTGTAGTCGACGGGTTGTCCCTTAACGGCCAACATGGCGTTGATGGTTGATCCACCACCGAGGACCTTACCTTGGGGCCAATTGCACTGGCCATCTTTGTATCCCTTGCAGTGGTTTCCGGGTTGGGTTTTGAATTGCCAGTCTTCTTCGGTTTGTTGGAGACTTAGGAAGAATGCTGGGGCCTATTAACAAATATATTTTTATTATTTATAGGATTTTAAGGTTAGGAATTAAAAAATTTACCTCTGATAGTTGACTGGGATAGGTACCAGCTTCAATAAGCAGAATTTTCCAGTTGGGGTTTTCAGAGAGACGCGCAGCAAGAGTGATACCAGCCGAGCCAGCTCCTACAATGATGAAGTCATATTGACTCTGTTGGTTGAGATTGCAAGCGGTTTGGTAGTTGTTAATGTCGTAGATTGAACACTCGTTGTTCATGAAGTAGTTGAGCCATACTAGGAAGGTTACGGTCGTGCAAAGCTCCATCTTGCTTTTTTTCAGTCTTGCTGACTGTGTTGTTTGGTGGATTGTGCTACACTTTTATACTCGTAATATCATTTACGTATAAACCAACAGATATCTTAAAATATTAAAATCTTTAATGTTTTATCTTTGGCTTTGCATGTAAATACGTTATTATAATGTCATTATGCTGATAAGAGAAGGATGTAATTTTGTAAAGTGTATAATCATTAGGGATTATTATTTTATAAAAAAAACATCTTAAATTAGCCTTCAAATTTATTTATATATTAAGGTAAATGAAAAATATTTTTTTGTTTTATTTTGGAAGCAGAGACAAAGATTTTTACAAAATAGCAGGCTTTTAAAAGAAGTTGCTGAAAAAACACCCTGTATCTTTGGATTTAGAGAGTCAATCGTAACATAGTCTTCATTATATTAAATTGTTATTATAAGTTGATCCTTTTGTTGTTATAAATTTTATTTTTTTAAGGAATTACAAAAATGCCAACATTTTTGAGTTTTTGCGAATTTTGGAAACATGCGATAGAAAACACTCGGTATCTTCCAATTCTGACATCATATTTTAACAATTTTTTTACTAAATAATAGAGAAAGAGTTGCTTTTTCCTTTTGTATGTTATCACTTCATCTAAACAATTTAAAATTGCCTTAAAATTGACATAAACTTTTGGATTTTTTGAAAAATTAAAAAATTTGCAGTTGAAAATACTCAGTAAATTACAATTAGAAGTTTTCTTTTTCTGACCAAGTATAAAAAGTAGTAAAAACATATACAATTTTAAAATTAATATATTAATATTGATTAATATCAGCGTTTTCCCATTTTCAAACTCTCATCATAGCCGTTTTCCTCTTTTGCGGTCGCCCGCTCGTGATTTGATTACGATCTGAAAACCAATTTACTATTAATCTTTGAGATTTCCCTGCCGATTCGAAAATTTATATCCTTTTCATTCGCTGGGCGCAGCATCCCCGTGAAAACACACCATAAAAATCTCATCAGCAATGTTAATTCTTAATTTATTTCCGTCCCGGCCGTATTCGAAAGCGGCGGCGACTTTTCCGGACTAGACGGAATTGGTTTTGATTTCTGTTTGACCCGAGTTATTGAACTGCGTTCGTTTTTATTGCAATATGGAAAATTGTCTTTGCCTTCACAAAGCGAATGAGAGATAGACGCCAAGCTGATGAAATTGCTTCGTGATACAAAGAATCAGTCGTCGATTCGTGAAAGGTGAACACGACCAAGGAGGAAATGATAATTGCGCCTCATTGGCATGCAAAAATATATGAAATTTGCGCTTCGCAAGTTGAAAAGTTAAATATCCGAAATATCCAATTATCCCACGTCTTCGTCAAATATTCCATCTTCAAGCATCGTAAATTTATTTCCCTCAACAGAACACCCTGTATAATAAAATGAATAAACGTTTTGTTGCGTGTTGATGTTACGCGAGCTGCGTGAGCGGCAACCAATTAAAAACTTTAAATGTTCGCCGGCAACTTTTTAGAGTGCCGCTCGAGTCGAGTGCGCGCGTTTGCATTAATAAATATTGAGTTGGAAGGCGCGCACTTTTAATGTCGACGCGCTGAAATATAGCCGGACGCGGGCCGAAAGAGTTGGCGCGCGCTGGCGAAACATTTTTTAACTAATAAATTCAGCCGGCAGCTTATTTCGCATCCGCAACGCATGCAGTGCTCATGTTAAATTTAACGCGAATTAAAAATTGCCGAAAGTCTAATTACCCGAGGGCGAATTACCGCGAGTAATGTGATTATGTACAACATCAAAAATAAAAATAAATTCAACCTTTTTCAAAGTCAACTTTTTAAGATTTCAAACGTCAGCTACAAATACGTAAAAAGTAAATATTATGTTATATTTACACACTGGATCACCGAGGATTATTTTGGTAAAAATAACAGAAGAATGTAAATATTTACATTATATTGACGCGCTGTTAATCCCGCACTTAATCCAGTTTAATTAAAATTTTGTTACTCTTTTACAAAGTCATAAATCACACAAAAAAACTCGACTTGAGATTCTCTCAATGTCATTCACGTTGCTGTCGAAATTAAATTCGATTCCCAAGAGATCCGCAAGCGCAAGCAATAATCTAAATACATTAACCAAACTTCAAAGAGAGAAAATGCAATTAGAATTCCGAACGTCCACGTTACAAGCATCGGCAACCATATATACACATTGTATGAGCTGCAACTCGTGATATCCGAAACAACACGGACGTTTACCTAAGTGTGGTTCTCGCCGGAATCTTTGTTAGCCCGTTGAATGAAGTTTCGTTGTGTGCGCGTGCAGATGTACTACAAAAGACGTTTGTATTGATTCGCAATTAAGGACTTCCAAAGAGGTCTCTCATCTCCACCTGCCTGCGTCAATACCTCGAAATTCCCATCACGGATTAAACTGGCGGTTGGTGCAGTTGCGTAACACAAAGAGATAGGATTAAACATGACATAACCTCAAATGTAGTTATTAGGGTTAGGTTGTAGTTTTTGACATTCTCCGTAATCCTGGGACATTATTATGTTGCGCACGTGTAGTACTTAATATCTAGCTAGTTTTCTTGATTTTTTTCTGTGTGTCCGGAACACATTTCGCGAATTACATCGAGTAGATTGTTTCGCGTTGGTTTTCTACACCACCAGCTGCTCCCGGGGCTTGGTTTAATGTTTTATCGTAAGGTCACCTTTATTACTTTATATAACCGAGTTTAATCTCGGTCCTCCTCGGTTGTGTAATATAGAAAGGATAAATAAACCTCGGTTCGAACGTGGCGGAGCAAGTGTCCTCCTTGTTCCGGCCGCACCCACATCCACATCCTTACATGCAGCCATAGTATAGTGTTTTGGGGCGATTTTGCTAGGTGGATGAAGAGAGAGGATGCAGTGGCGGGTCGCATCTGTTGGTGCGACCTTGTTAACCGAGTTCGGGTTTGACCGCACCGCGCGGGCACCAGTCTAGTAAATTTCCTTTTCATTATTAATCTGCACGGCGGCGAATCGATGCGCCTGTGTTCCTGGCCGCCGGCCGCTGAACTAGGACATCCGCAGCAGCTTCATTTTGAGCATTTCAATATCATTATGTTTGTTATTTGTTTCAGTGCCACCTCAGAAGCCTAAGATCTTCGATGAAAAGGGCAAGGAGGTTGAAACCCGTGCGGGACCTTATGAAGAGGGAGGGGATATGAAGTTGAGTTGCATTGTCACAGGCGGTAAGTCAAAAATTCCTCATATGTATGTAATTATATTGTGCTGGTAGTTGGATCTTTGAGTTGGTTGGTTTGAATGGTTGGAGGAACTTATGTTATGTGGTTGCTTGTTAGTGACAGAATTTCATCTTGTGCGGCTGTCACTCGACGCTGAAAATACGACGGCGTTTAGTTGGTAGGAATGTGCGTTCATGCGCGCACACACGATGTATTATTTAATTAATCGTGCAATTAACCTTCGCACGCGCGCATTAAACAACCCGCAAAACGCATTTCCAGCGTCCGCAAACCCTCCCCGACGACCGCAGACCGCCAACAGTAACACTTTACACATCACCAGTTACAAAGCGCGCTAAAAATAACTTAATAACGTTTAAAAATTAGCTCATTTTGATATTTTGAAGACCTTTGGGAATTTGTTATATTTAAAAGCTCAAAAATACAAAATTTAATGAAATTTTATATTGAGTATTAAATGTCTCTCGAGATAATGCGCAGGCGCAAGCTCTGCCCCGTAGATAATACACGTAGATAATGAATATTACTCACGGTTGGGCCTTCCGTATATAAAGTCCCACTTTTTGAGTCTAAAACCGTAGAAAAGCAGGCGCTTTGTAGGTGGAAGTAGAAAAAAACTTAATATTTTCATTCATAAATTTTAAAAATATTTTATAATAATTTTATTAGGTGGAGGATAAAAGAATTGTTTTTCTTGTGTTTATTTTTCAAAACAAAAACTTCTGACAGGTTGCCGGCTTGTTATTTCCGTGTTGGCAGTAAAAGAAAATCTCGAAAAATATGAGCAGGAAAAAACTGAAGACGCAAATTGAATTAACAAATGTACCTTAATTCGCCTCGGTAATGTTTTTCGCTCGCTGAGCTTTTTCGCACGATGTTTTTTCCCTTCGCGGTGGCGGCGGCGGAAAAAGTATTTTAATGAATGCTCGCATGAGCATTCCGGGCGCAACGTGGGCGCGCAAAAGAAAATTTCATAAAGATCTTAATGGCGTTTTGCTAGATTAAGGAATTTATGAGAAAAGTTCACAACTTTTTTTATTGCACGCTTGGTTTTCTCTTCCATGTGGATAATATAAGAAAAAACAACAAAATTAAAAAGAAAATGCTACAATAATTACAAAATAAACACAAGTTTAGTTTTTTGTGTGTTAAAAAAAATAAAAAATAAAAAATGCGGTCAAAAAGTTAAAATTACGAAATGAGGTAAATTGACAACAAAGTGTAATAAAATGAAAGTTGTGTATGCAAAATATAATTACCTCAGGCGAGGCAACTAAAAACTAAAAGGTTAAAATGCAAAAATTCAGAAATTCATACCCGCATAAAGTTGAGTTAAGCTTTTCTACGCCAGAGGTCAGTGCTTTAGCATGGCAAAGTTACTCGGGCTCACAACCTCGAAAAATTTGGCTTTGCGGCACGTCCAGCCTTACCCCACACGCGAAAATCTCTCCAGCGGGTGCTCTAAATAAATATTTCGGCAAATTTAATTCGGAGCCTGCCTCGGCGCCGTTTTATTATCTAAATTATCCGCAATAATGTGCGCCTGCGACCAGACACTAGTGGGACTCATTTCCACATACTCACCACTACCCACCCAACACGTGCGAGAAGCACCACCGGCAGGTACACGTATATCCCCTATTTTTATAATAATCTTGCTTGGCATTGTGCGGTTGTCACGTATGCGAGAGTCCACTTAGTTACTTATGCTCACACGGGCGGCCGGGGGTTGTCTCCGGAGAGGGTGAGATCAAACACGAACATAACCTCAATGTTACTCTGTATGTGTATAGGTGTATGTTACACGACTGCGGACGTGGTGCTTGTGCACGGGTAATAAACTCCACTACACGTTGTCCACGTCCGAGTAACTATGTGCAAGGGAGGCTGCCTAGCGATTACTTCCAACTACAGCTCCAGTTCGAGTCGCTCGTAATGACCTGACTTATTTGCACGTGCTGTGCTCGTAAATTGCGGCGTTTATATTATCGAAATGTTGATATTTTTATTTCCCGCACGATTAAATAGAAAATATCCGGGTTATATTGGTTTATCTCTTCGTCACTTTTCGTCTTGTCGACGTGTTGTCATCCCCTGGGAGGCGGTAGTCCACGAAACCTTCGATCCGCGGTTCTCTTTTGTCCGCAGTGAGGAAAAAGTTACATTTTTTTTCGGTGCGTGTCTTCGTCCGTCTTGTTTAAAGGACCTCCGTCGACAACTTCAACGGACGAACACCCCGGGGTTTTATTTATATCCAGCGGAGACTCTTTAGGCAATTTTATTTGTTTAGGTGAACGGTAGGAGTCGACTAAAAGGACAAACTAGAGTGTAAACGTCTAGAGATAAAGTCCTTTACGTAATTTAAAACTTTTTCAACACGAGTTGAAAAAATTTATTGAAAATGATAGAAATCGAATATAAATTTGAAACAATTTGAATAAAAAATACAGAAAGCGTCTCGGTTTTTTTTTTCTTGATGGTGGAGGCGCCGGGTTGTTTTAGGCCAACGTCAACATTAAGGGTAAACTACCCCACGCTGTGTGTTTGCATAAATATCGACTGAAAGCGCGCGCTGTGCGAACATTTGCCGAATAAACCTATTTACATATTTCATTTCCGTTTTAAATTACCGCAACAAATCTTGCGCGCACCGAGTGTAATGCGTCTCGCCGCGGAGGCTGAAGTTGGCGGCGTCGATGTCGAGCCACGCGCGCATCGATTGCCGCCGCAGCCAGCGAACGCTCGAGAGGATTGACGATGACGAGAAGGAGTAAAAGCGAACGCCGCCGAGCGACTAATTAATTAAACAGAACTTTTAATTATTATTAACTACCATTACGAAGCGCGGCGCGCATATTCGAGAACACATTTGCCGCCCGCCGACGTCGAAGCCCCAGCGGCGGGGGCTGGCGGTGGGCTAAGTAACTTAATTTATCATCGGCGGTGTGCTGGTGCGCCATCCAACCCAGCCAGCGTTGGCGCGCTCATTAACGTGCTAATTGTCTCTTTATGTTATTAAAAGCGCCATTAGTTTTCCACCGACCAGAAACTTATAATTCGTCCAATTACGCGACGAATTCTATTTTTATCGCTCGCCGACTGTATGCAACCAAATTCACTCGTGTAGCAATGTATTTTGCATTTTTCGCATCGGCGCGTTCATTTTCAAATCCTTTAATAGAACATTCTCTGGCTACCGGCATGAAAAAATGATGGGAATACGTTAACAATGGAAAAAAAGAGTAAAAAATGCCTGTAACTTCACGCCATCGATTGGATATTTTTGTTCGTCAGCGCAAACGAACAATGCGACGCGGCTGGCCATCACGCTCAGATATTTATTGCTAGTTTGGTGTCGAAACTAAAAGTTTTAATTGCTGTTGCACAGCCAGGCACGTTATTTAACGTCGTGTTTTTTTATCGTACGATGATGCAAACATTCTAAAATTCCACTTGATTCTAACCTAAACTGTCCGAAATGCAATTCACAACTTGGGGTTGATTTTAATTAACCGAAAAAAAAGTTTACACCCTGTTTTCTAATCTCTAGTTGAATCGTGACGAAGTTCACATGTTTTACGTTGTTAATTACGCTCCATTTAATAAATAATTAAACTCACGCCGGTTGAAAAACGTTGCCGAATGGGTGGCGATGCGATATATTGTTTTTAATGAAACTGAGGAATCTCTCGCCTTGTTTTGTGCGCGCAGAGAGGGTGGGATCAAGATAGTTGAGATCTCGCGGACCTCGCGAACCCCCGGTTTTTGTTCAATTTCTTGTTGAGATGAGAGCGGAGATGGGAGCGTAATTCAAGTTTGTTCATTTGCGTTTCGCTATTCAGGTAACCTGTGTAGCTAAAAGCAGAGTAGAGAATGTATACAAATTAAATTGGAATTGGGCTGAGAGCTACCCAACTCCAGAGTAGAGAGCATTACAAGTTCTAAATTGAATTTCAAGAAAAACTAAGTGGAAAACGAGAAAACCGGCGGAGAAAACTTGCCAAAAAAAATTAATTATAAAATAAAACGTGTCATTATTGTCGCAAGATAGTTTTCACATTCTTTTTTAACAATGCAAACACATAAAACACCGGAAATAAAATAAATAAAATCGTTGCGAGATAAAAACGCGTACTGTAGGCAACCAGCTATACGCTGGTGTATAGTATAATAGGTCTGGCGTGTCATAAAAATCCGCGTTTTCTTCACGCCATAAACAGCGAATAATTATCACCTGCGCTAAAGATAAGCGCACAGGAAACCAAAGCCCACTTTGTGTGTGAGCGGGTGCGGGCGGTTCCCTTACTAACACCTCCTTACGACGATAAGCGGTGCCCTCTGGATTAAAAGGCGAAACACGAGACGCCACCGACGGTGGCGGGAAAAGCGTAATGGGGGCGGCGGCCGGGTAATATTTCACTCGAATGGCCGTCCTCGGAGGATTCCACTTAAGTACTGCCGTTGCCGCCGCCGCCGCATCGCGTGCATTATTAAACCGGCAGCGTGAGCATATTTTGTGCGCGAGCTAGGCAACCAAGCATGCATCAACCTAAAATGTAACCAAACTTGTGCTGCAAATTTAATCGCAGATTTTATGTCGTAAATGTTATAAAAACGTTTGATTTTCTATTCCAGGCAAACCGGAACCGATCATAAAATGGTGGCGTGGCGAGAAACTGATTGAATCGCTCGAAACACGCAGCGGATTTCAAAATGTCCGCTCGAATCAGCTCGTGGTCAAAGGCCTGCAGAGATCTGACCAACATGCAGCCTTCACCTGTCAAGCATCGAATAACAACATTAGTCAACCGGTTTCTTCAACAGTCACCATTGAAATACACTGTAAGTACACTATAGGCAACTTTATATACATATTACTAACCTATACGAATATAACGCGACCAGAGTCATCTATAATTCAATAGGAGAGTGGAATTAGGTCAAAAATTAAATAGTTTAGAAAGTGCGCACAAACAGCATGTTCTTGGGTGTGTGTTGTGTGTGTTGTGGCTAATGCAACGCTTGAATTATTCGCTCGACGGCGTCGTGCGCGTTCGTTCCGCAGCGGCGCGCTTTGATTAAAACTCCAGGCTGCGTGAGCCTCTCACCACCATATTGTTACATTGGGGGCGGCGGCCGTGTTGTTGCGGTGTTCTACGCGCCGGTCGAGGTGTAAAAACGAATTGCCCGCCGTAATTATAGTTTAATTCAACTTCTTCAACTCGTCCGCGCGCGCAAGTCTAAATAATTCATTCGATTCCGGAACAATTAACATACGAAAGAACCAACGTGTTTTTAAGTCTGTGTTATGTTAGCAAAACCTATACACACGTATAAATAAAATTGTGTTGTAGTTCAAAGAGGAAAAATGTAACAAAATTTGTTATCACGTATAAAAATGGAATTTAGTGTTTTCGGCGTAAAATTTGTTTAGTATTGTCTCGCTTGGACAGCGGACAATCTGGCGCTGGGGCCCGAATACAGAGGCTGGGAAAATTGTTGCGCTCTCGTGTTGCGGGCGCCCGTCGCGGTCGTTACTCTGCGCGTGCATTAATATTTATTGCGCACTTTAATCTCTGTCACGTATCCGTAATCCGGTAAACATGAGAGGCCACACACCGGCTCCAGGACGGGCGCGCATCGCGATAATTTTCGTTTTTGAAAAATTGCGCATTATTTATTCTTTTCACTGCGCTGTTTAGACCACAGCACATGTAGGATGGACAGATGTGTAACAACAAAAGGAAAAAATGCGTTTTTTAGTAAATTTGAATAAATCGTTGTAGTGTCGTGCTTTGATTGTTCGATGGTAATTTATTGGTTAAACATTATTAATGTGGTGCGTAATAGTAGCATAAAGTTGGTTATTTTATGTTAAAATATAATTTTATTATTTTTTCATCTTTTGCCACGGTTTTTAGACACAAAAAGTGGTATTTAATATACGAACGGCCAAAGCGTGAGTAATATCCATTATCTACGAGCATTATCTACGGGTCGAAGCATGCGCCTGCGCTCTCAATCAGTCTCATGAGTAAAGTCCCCATTTTGCCACTTTACATTTTATTTCTTTTATTTATTTTTGTGCATATTTTAAACGCAATTAATATAAAAATAATTGCCCAATTTGTATTTCAATAATTTCAATAACAATCATGATGTTAATTATTAGTTTCCAATTATTCGCGTGTATAATTGGTTGCCTATATTTCCAGATTTCTAAAAACTTCCTACAAAAGAATTTAAAAATAGATCATATTTTATTAGTTCATATAAGTTGATTGAATAATATTATTTTGCAAACGTGTTGAAAAAACACGCGAATAATAACATAAAGCAGAACAAATTGAGTGTGGATTTATCTGTTTTTTTCATCTGTTCTCCGCGTTTCCCCATTCTTCTATGCAGTAACGAAAATATCTAATTTAAAAAGTAATCCGTAATATTTCTCCGAGTGCGGGCGTCTCTTTATACGCCAACCGGTTCGGGGATAACACGCTTTTTAAATTTGTCGCACGTGCAGAGCGCTCCCGGGAACAATCCTAAGTGGAAACGAAAAGCGTAGTAAAACGTACTCTGCCACTTGAAATATCTCTAACAGAAAACGGACGCGGAAACTTGCCACACCACGCTGTATTATTACGCGTTGGCAAGTCAGGTGGAAAAATGCCTAATGGAAAACTGTCGTCCACAACGGCAAGGTGTGCGTTTAATTGCGAAGCGAGGTGGAAAGAAGGTGCAAAAACAAAATGTATATGTGGATATGCGTTTCACTAATTCGCAATGCTCAACATCTGTGAGCACATTGTATTATATTTTGTTACTATTTTCGACGTCTACCTTTAGACGTGGACGCACCTGTACGTTTGATGCTCGGACGTAACCGCACGTGAACAAAGGATATCCCGGCGCGTGTGATGTGGCCGGCCACAAACGAACTTTGCCGCTGCCAAATACGATGCATCGGATGCACAAGGTGAATTCTCGATACGCCGATCAAATGTATGTAGTTCGGCGATCCTGTGGTGAAGGCGCCGGGCGTTTTTGGTCCGTTGCCCGCCGGCTGGAAAATATAATTTATTGACGCCCGAAATTTGAGGTTCGAGGTGGATCGCGCAGGCGGGCGCGCAATATTCACAAGCCATTATGCAGATTAGCAGGAAGCGCAGTCGTCGCCGTAATCTCTGCGGCCACCCACGCTGGCCCGACCGGCATGTTCGAGTTCGCAAACCAAACGGAGCGAAAATATGTTCCGGCCCGATTTATAATATGCTCGATGCAGTCATGTGGAAATTATGATCGGACTTCAAATTTGTCATATTAATAAATTATCTACTTGAAAAAATAAAATTAAAGCAAAAAATGGTACTTTACTCACGAGATTGATTAAGCAATCGAGTGTTTAACAAAGTTTAGCCACGTGACGCTTACGCTATTTTTTCTACTTCTACTTTATTTTAACGTTGAGTTTATTGACGCAAGCTTCACCTTGTGACTAAAGCCCGTGACTAAAGTACTTTAGTCACGGCCGTGTTTAAATTATCACTTTTTATGTCTAAAAACCGTGGAAAACCAGCGTTTTATAAGCGGAAGTAGAAAATATTTATTTTTTAATTTTTGTTTAAACACATTGTATATTTAGTATTAGAAGTAGTACTACACGTAATACCTAGTAATATTAGCCATATATCATGACCCTTTGAGAGGGTCGAATCTTTAGAGGATTCGATTATACTAGAAGACAAGATATTAGTCCACTTTGAATGCCATAAAATTCCAATCGGCATTTGCGATGCGCGCCCGGCTTTGACGAGCAAGAAAAAAGGTTGCCAATAAATCCGTGCGTGCGCTGGATGTTCTCCACCCTTGGCAAAAATAAGATTCCGTAGTGCGAGTCCATCGATAAGGGTTATTACCAGCCCGAGATTTATTTCCGCGCACTCGTCGAAAACGTTCAGCTTGACGTATTTATAGCAATAACACCAAGCACTTTCATCCCTCGTGTTTTTTTTTTGGCTGCAAATTGCAGCAGGCCGGCTAATATAATCGGATTAAACGTCAAACGTAACAAGGAAACGAAAGCCGGTTGGAAGAAAGCGCTCGTTTAAAATATGAACTAATATAGACGACTCCGAAGGGAGGCGGTGGTGTGTTGCAGTTGACTTGACGCAGCGGGATGCTAGAAGTTAGCGGCAAGCACATTAACAGTAACTCATTACAAACTTTTCGCAAGTCGCTGCTGGGCGAACGTTTGAAGTCTCGAAAAGTCTGAATGAATGCAGGAGAAAGGCGGAAAGAGTGGCCGGAAATTAGGTCGCTGAGTGCGAGTACGTTTGATATTTTCTAATGCATACAATTTTCCAGGAAGGTAATAAGATAATTACGACTATAATTTGCTATGCAGTCATTTATGACAAGCCTATAAACTTTAATTAGATTCGTAATATCATTTGAGTTCATTTTCAATTTTAGTACTTCAATATTGTATATTAAATGTCAAGTGCGCTAAGTGGCACTTTAACCACGTTTAGAGACTTTCTAAAAAGCTCAAACATTTTAGCCACAGCCAAATGCCACACCCCGTGACTAAAGCCCGTGACTAAAGTACTTTACTCACGGTTTTAGCCGTCCGTGACTAAAATGCCACTTTTTGACCTTAAAACTATGGAAAAAGAGAATTTTAAAGAAAAATATTATTTTACTCATCGAATAAAATACAGTATAAAAATGTCGAATAAAAACCACATGGAATGTTTGCTTAATTCCTAGCGGCTGAAAATTAGCCGACTCGGCAAATCATTATATGGTAATGCCGGACCGTCTGCGCAGGCAAATATTACCGAGGAAAAATATGTGTGGCGGCAGCGCAAAGCTAAAATGTAACATGCGACTCGTCCATCGCACGGCCGCTCATGAATATTAATATCGTAATGCAGTGGCTCGCCGTATGCATCCGTAACTCGGCGAAAAGCTTCGTCGAGCGCAAGAGCTTAAATAGTTATTTCGTTCATGCCGGGAGTGTATTAACGGCGCTGGCTTATTAAATACTATGCGTCATTTCGTCCACGCTGTCATCTTCATTCCGTGCACGAAGAATACTGTTTTTGCAAAAGAGGGAGTGCCGCTATAGGTATATCATTGCGGCAAAGTTATGCAACCCAATATACATTACAATAGATTTCGCGCTGGTTATGAGTACTCTATGGATATTAATCCTGGTTATATCAAAATGAAAAAAATATTCAGAAGGCGTTAAACATGTAATAAGCCACGCCCATTTTATGTGTGGGCATGGTACTGACTCCTCCTTGATGTATTCTTTAACATAGGATTTAAACTCCGCCTATGCAATGTATACCACTCCTTTCTCAGTCCGTGGGGCGGATCTTAAAACGCCAAGGAAGCGATTTTTGCGTTTCGCTGCCTTTATTCCAGTTTCGTTTTTACGAGCATTGCATGCAAATTGCTCTGTCAATTCAGTCATGCAAAAATTGTCGTAAAACTATCGCAAACGTCTCGTTCCTCGCAAATCGAATGTGACTGCGCCGCGTTAAAGCGAAGAATGAAGTTATGCGGCGGGCAAATTACTGCCATGTGCCCACAATCTCAATCTCACGTCGAGTCGTATAATTGTTTCGTGCACTCGTATCGTTTCGTGTAAATTGCATAACAATATTCCATGCATATTTATATTCATTGTGCCCTGGGGCGGTTTTAATCACGTTCAAAATCGGGCAATCATAAAAGATTTCCATAAATGTTTTGCATGAAAACAATAGAAACTTATAAAAACGTGAATAAAGTGTAGTATTCAACCTCATTATTCATTTTCTATAATTGGA